TAATTCTATCCCCTATCAAATTTTTATACTCAACTAATAAACAAAAAAAAATTTATCTATTTTACTTAAATAGAATAATAGAATATCACAATCAAAGAACCTGAAACGAGAAAAAAGAAAGCATATAAACAATATAATGAGTTAATTCTTTTTTCTTGGTCCTGGTGATGGCTCCCTTGCTATTCTGCTGTTGGAATGGACTGGATTAGGTTTGTGGCCCTTGATGTTCCGTTGCACGTCTTTACTGTCTCTGGACACGCTCTTCTGATCTTTGTAGGACACTGCTCTTGTCTTGTGTCGTGGTCCAAGTCTGTAGATGATCTTAAAAGACTACCATTAGTTTATGTTCATTTAGTAAATCAAATATATCAAAAAGTCTTTATACCATGTAGTTTAACAATCTACACTGAAGTTGACCAGTTTACACAGATCACTATTGTCGAATGTTCACAGTTAGTGCATATTAATGTCACTTTAATTTTCACCACAAATTGTTAACAAATGTTAAGATTCTCACTGAAACACTTTTCTTAAAGCGAATGTACGTAGTTTCACTTTACAACCTGAATAGTCATAGTCTATCACATTAATCACTGTTCTTACTGTCTATCCATTATTATTCGTAAACATTTCGTGACGCAATTAATGTTGATAAACACCACTCCTTCTTTGCCAACACAATAAACACTTGAACTCACCTATACGGACGTATTACAAACATTTAGTAGTAAAAGTACTACTTCTGGTACTGACTGGACCCCGTTGTTATTTTTATTGACAAGTATTCTTGACTTGAGGCATTCACTTGTGGCAGGTGTGCTGTACGGTTGCCTCGAGTTAGCTGTCGCTGATGACCTCTTATCTGCTACTGTGTTGTACTTGATTGTTTGATCAGCACTGATGACCACATTAATTCATAGCGTGGTGACCTCGAGCTCGATGTAAATGAGTACCGTCTTGGCCCTTGACGTTGCAGTGTTTTTGCGGAGAAATCTAGTCCAAACGTGGTATCTGTGATTTAAGACCTCTCGTTTGACAAAAAAAAAAAAAAAAAAAAAAAAAACCACGTCAAATAAGGATCACACAGATATTCTGCTGACAATCTTCCGTCGTGAATTACCCACCACGAGGGTCAAAAGTTCAGCTTACACCGTCTCCTCCAGCGACGAACAACGATCCCACGTCGCGGGATAAAACGTGTGAAATTTTTTAACACGTGGAGTATACGTTACCCAGGATACTCGCCATGTTTCTACCAATTTTTCTCAGGCAAGCTTGTCAGTTTGAGAATGACCAGAGTCTGGAATTCAGTTGTCCCGGTTTTACTTAATGCCCTTCGACAGCATGTCCTGGTCTTACATAATACCCCGACATTTCTTTAAACTCCATCTTCCAACACACATAGTCACTCTCAGCTTACGGCTGCCGGTGTTTGCCTAAATTTTACGTCTGTCCACAATAACACTACTCCTAATGTACTGCCATAGTTAGAACAAGCTTCCAATGTACTTCATACTTAGAAATCACACTGTATTCACACTTAGGGCGAGAACCCAATGTCCAATGTAATGAATCACTGTGATGATTGTACTTGTGTCTAGAGGTTAGGTCACAGCTTAATCTAACAAGACTGCACTGCTCTCATCGGTCACACTACTTCTAACGATGGGTGACACCAGCTGATACATTTCATTAGTTTATTATCACGGTAGCACAATACACGAATCAACAACGATGTCCACTTACACCATTCGGGGCAATCTCGACTTGCTCACACATTAATGCTCCAGGCATACTTCAGACGATTCACGTGCTCTTCATTCTTTATTCATCTTCACCGATTCAGTCTTACATCCTTCCTCTCTGGGGCCCAGTCACTGAATGACCGCCTGATTCTCAATCCCCCAGATCTCACCATTCACACGTGACTCACTCTTTCCTGTCGTTTCACCATATCTCCGTGAAACCTATGCTCTCAGGGACTTCCCCAATTATGTCAGTCATCCCCTGACGTTATCCCTATTAATAGCATCATTACAGAGAACATCAATTCAGTAGTGTTGTATATATCTCAGACATATAGAACATCAAATCAGTAGTGTTGTATAGATCTCAAACATATAGAACATCAAATCAGTAGTGTTGTATAGATCTCGAGCATATAGAACATCAAATCAGTACTGTTGTATAGATCTCAGACATAGAGAACATCAAATCAGTAGTGTTGTATAGATTTCAAACATAGAGAACATCAAATCAGTAGTGTTGTATAGATATCAAACATAGAGAACATCAAATCAGTAGTGTTGTATAGATCTCAAACATAGAGAACATCAAATCAGTACTGTTGTATAGATCTCAAACATAGAGAACATCAAATCAGTACTGCTCTATAGATCTCAGACACAGAGAACATCAAATCAGTACTGTTCTATAGATCTCAGACACAGAGAGTATCAAATCAGTACTGTTGTATAGATCTCAAAGATAGAGAACATCAAGTCAGTACTGTTGTATAGATCTCAAAAATAGAGAACATCAAATCAGTAGTGTTGTATAGATCTCAGACATAGAGAACATCAAATCAGTACTGTTGTATATATCTCAAACATAGAGAACATCAAATCAGTACTGTTGTATAGATCTCAAACATAGAGAACATCAAATCAGTACTGTTGTATAGATCTCAGACATAGAAAACATCAAATCAGTAGTGTTGTATAGATCTCAAACATAGAGAACATCAAATCAGTACTGTTGTATAGATCTCAGACATAGATAACATCAAATCAGTACCGTTGTATAGCGCTTAACCATGAAGAACATACATTAGTGATGTGGTATAGAACATAAATATGGAGAACTGTAACACATATCCTATTCGTTTTAAAATATATTCCTAGGGTCTGACTTTGTCACGATTTTCCCTGAACTTCCACTAGTGGCCTTGAGACCTGACTGTAACCTCAAAGAAGATCTCGCCAATAGTCGGTTACGTTCCATCTCTGAGTCCCACTTATGCACGGTCTTTTGTCATAAACTTGTATCTAAGACTGTGTTTATACGTGGTTTAGACAGACAGTCTGGCCACCGTTTACCTAAGTGAGGCTTCTATTTTACTAGCCAACGTCATTTACGTTATAATCTGCAAAAGATGTGGTATGAAATACAATAGTGAAACGCGGATGTAAATCGAATGCATGTTCGGGTAACATCTTTCAGATGTGCAGAACGGCGTCCTCGAACTATTGATTGTCACTAAGGTGTCAGCATAGAAGTTACGGCGATTAAGTCAAGCCGTTCAAACAATACAAAGTCTGTAAATCTCTCGAAAACTGCCTTATCTATCTAATGGGCTCCAGTTCGCACATGAAATTTAACATCCAACACGTTTTAATCTACCATTTTTGAGTTACAACCGTTCCCGTTCACATATTTTGTTTCTTTCCGGTGTTTATTACGCTTGGTCACACACGTATAAGAGATTCAACTGGTCAGACAGATATGTAATTTCTGTCGGAGATACTATTTGATCTGTGTATTTTTTTTCGTGTTAGTGGTATTTTTTTTTTTCCACACACAGCAGGCTTCACACACTCCAGGCTTCACACACGCCAGGCTTCACACACCACATGCTTTACACACTTCACACACTCTAGGCTTCACACACTCCAGGCTTCACACACAGCAGGCTTCACACACTCCAGGCTTCACACACTCCAGGCTTCACACACCACATGCTTCACACACTCCAGGCTTCCCACACCACATGCTTCCCACACTTCCCACACTCTAGGCTTCACACACTCCAGGCTTCACACACACCAGTCTTCACACACTCCAGGCTTCACACACTCCAGGCTTCACACACTCCAGGCTTCACACACTCCAGGCTTCACACACTGCAGGCTTCACACATTGCAGGCTTCACCCACTCCAGGCTTCACCCACTCCAGGCTTCACCCACTCCACGCTTCACACACTCTAGGCTTCACACACTCCAGGCGTCACACACCACATGCTTCACACACTTCACACACTCCAGGATTCACACACTGCAGGCTTCACCCACTCCAGGCTTCACACACTCCAGGCTTCACACACTCCAGGCGTCACACACCACATGCTTCACACACTCCAGGCTTCAGACACTCCACATTTTACACACTCCAGGTGTCACACACCTTACGGCTCACGCACTCAAGGTTTCACACACCTCAAGCTTGACGCACTCAACCCTTCACACACACACCAGGCTGCACACTCCATTCTTCACACACTCTAGGCTTAACACACCCTAAGGCTCGCACACACACCAAGCCTCACACACTCAAAGTTTCACACACTCCAAGCTTCACACATTCCAAACATCACACACTTCAGGCTTAACACACCCTACGGCTCACACATTCCAGGCTTCACAAACTCCAAGCCGCACACACTTCAGACATCACAAACCCTTTGGCTCACACACCCCAAGCGTCACACGCCTTAAGGCTCACACCCTCATTTTTTCACACACTCTAAGCCTCACACACTCCAAGCTTCACACACTGCTTACTTCATCCACTCTAACCTTCTAGGCTTCATACACACCACTAACTCCTGGTCTTCAGCTGGTACAAACTCTGCTGCATCTACCTTTTCCCTAGACTTGATGGACCATTAAAACATCGTATATTCTTTAAAGTGTTGGGATAAGAAGGCACAGGTCGACAATAAACACAGAAAACAGACAGACAAACCAGCTGCCTGACCCAGACAGACCAGCAGACCAACTACCTGACAGATAGAGCAAAACAAATCTGATCCCCTAAACAACAGACGAATACAGATCATCTCACCGACAGAACGACGGACAGACTCACCAACGACTTACTTATTCATTAACCGACAAACTGACACAGAGACTGTCAGACAAAAAATTTCACAGACTTGCACTCAATTCCCGATATTCTAATAAAAAAAAATTGTTTACATTATTAGATTGACTGTTGCAGGTACTGGACGCATTTCTATGTGGATCCCTCGGACTCTTTCTACTACCGGTGGCTGTTCGTGATCTCTATGGCCGTTCTCTACAACATCGTCTTCATCATCGCCAGATCGGTCTTCTGGGAGCTTCAAGATCTCTACTTCATTTTGTGGTTGTCCTTGGACTACATCAGTGACTTCATCTATGCCCTGGATATCTTCATACAGTTCAGAACAGGTACAGTCTCTATACTCATTCTTCGCAAAACCAGTCTCTGAACTTTCACACACTACACAAGTCTCTGCACTCTCACGAACTACACACATCAGTCTCTGCACTATCACACACTACACAAGTCTCTGCACTCTCACACACTACACATATCAGTCTCTGCACTCACACTCACTACACATATCAGTCTCTGCACTCTCACACACTTCACATATCAGTCTCTGCACTCACACTCACTACACATATCAGTCTCTGAACTCTCACACACTACACATATCAGTCTCTGCACTCTCACACACTACACATATCAGTCTCTGCACTCTCACACACTACACATATCAGTCTCTGCACTCTCACACACTTCACATATCAGTCTCTGCACTCACACTCACTACACATATCAGTCTCTGCACTCACACTCACTACACATATCAGTCTCTGCACTCTCACACACTACACATATCAGTCTCTGCACTCTCACACACTACACATATCAGTCTCTGCACTCTCACACACTACACATATCAGTCTCTGCACACACACTCACTACACATATCAGTCTCTGCACTCTCACACACTACACATATCAGTCTCTGCACTCTCACACACTACACATATCAGTCTCTGCACTCTCACACACTACACATATCAGTCTCTGCACTCTCACACACTACACATATCAGTCTCTGCACACACACTCACTACACATATCAGTCTCTGCACTCTCACACACTACACATATAAGTCTTGCCCGGCTCTCTAGCGAAGTTGGTTAAACCTGACTTTCGCGGCGGCCGGGTGACGAACTCCTTGTTGTCCGGGTTCACTCCCGGGGGTAGGCAGAAAAGCCACATTTCTCCCAGATTAACGGTACCTATAATGGAATCAATGCCGAAAGGTTGCGATATCCATAGTACCGAGCCTAAGGGCTTACAACTCATGGTTTCTGGATACGTAAAATAAAAAAAATAAAAAAAAACATATAAGTCTCTGCACTCTCACACACTACACATATCAGTCTCTGCACTCACACTCACTACACATATCAATCTCTGCACTCACACACACTAAACATATCAGTCTCTGTACTCTCACACACTACACATATCAGTCTCTGCACTCTCATACACAAGTCTCTGCACTCTCACACACTACATATATCAGTATCTGCACTCTCACACACTACACACACTAGTCTCTGCATTTATTCTTCACAAAACCAGCCCCTGCACCCATGTTTTAAAAATCAGTCTTTGCGCTCAAACTACCAATGTCTTTGCACTCACACTATAAACATCAGTATTTGAACAGTCACACACTACACAAGTCTCTGCACTCACACACACTATAAACTCTCACACGCTACACACATCGGACTCTGAACACACTACAAAAGTCTCTTTATTCTCACACACTACACACATCAGTCTCTGAACACACTACACGAGTCTCTGCATTCTCACACAGTACACACATCAGTCTCTGCCCTTTCACACACTACAAACATCTGTCTCTGCCCTCTCACACACTACAAACATCAGTCTCTGCACTCTCACACACTACATTCATCAGTCTCTGCACTCCCACACACTATAAAAATCAGTCTTTGCACTCTCACACACTACAAACATCTGTCTCTGCCCTTTCACACACTACAAACATCTGTCTCTGCACTCTCACACACTACAAACATCAGTCTCTGCACTCTCACACACTACATTCATCAGTCTCTGCACTCCCACACACTATAAAAATCAGTCTTTGCACTCTCACACACTACAAACATCTGTCTCTGCCCTCTCACACACTACATACATCAGTCTCTGCACTCCCACACACTATAAAAATCAGTCTTTGCACTCTCACACACTACAAACATCTGTCTCTGCCCTCTCACACACTACAAACATCTGTCTCTGCCCTCTCACACACTACACAAATCAGTCTCTGCACTCCCAAACACTACACACATCAGTTTCTACACTCCCATACACTACACACATCAGTCTCTACACTCACATACACTACACACATCAGTATCTACACTCCCATACACTACACACATCAGTCTCTGCACTCCCAAACACTACACACATCAGTCTCGTCACACACATACACTACACACATCAGTCTCGTCACACCCATACACTATACACATCAGTCTCTACACTCCCATACACTACACACATCAGTCTCTACACTCCCATACACTACACACATCAGTCTCTACACTCCCATACACTACACACATCAGTCTCTACACTCCCATACACTACACACATCAGTCTCGTCACACACATACACTACACACATCAGTCTCGTCACACCCATACACTATACACATCAGTCTCTACACTCCCATACACTACACACATCAGTCTCTACACTCCCATACACTACACACATCAGTCTCTACACTCCCATACACTACACACATCAGTATCTACACTCCCATACACTACACACATCAGTTTCTACACTCCCATACACTACACACATCAGTTTCTACACTCCCATACACTACACACATCAGTCTCTACACTCCCATACACTACACACATCAGTTTCTGCACTCCTATACACTACACACATCAGTCTCTACACTCCCATACACTACACACATCAGTTTCTACACTCCCATACACTACACACATCAGTTTCTGCACTCCCATACACTACACACATCAGTCTCTACACTCCTATACACTACACACATCAGATTCTACACTCCCATACACTACACACATCAGTTTCTACACTCCCATACACTACACACATCAGTTTCTGCACTCCCATACACTACACACATCAGTTTCTACACTCACATACACTACACACATCAGTCTCTACACTCACATACACTACACACATCAGTTTCTACACTCCCATACACTACACACATCAGTTTCTGCACTCCCATACACTACACACATCAGTTTCTGCACTCCCATACACTACACACATCAGTCTCTACACTCCCATACACTACACACATCAGTTTCTACACTCCCATACACTACACACATCAGTTTCTGCACTCCCATACACTACACACATCAGTTTCTGCACTCCCATACACTACACACATCAGTCTCTACACTCCCATACACTATACACATCAGTCTCTACACTCCCATACACTACACACATCAGTTTCTGCACTCCTATACACTACACACATCAGTTTCTGCACTCCCATACACTACACACATCAGTTTCTGCACTCCCATACACTACACACATCAGTTTCTGCACTCCCATACACTACACACATCAGTTTCTGCACTCCCATACACTATACACATCAGTCTCTACACTCACATACACTACACACATCAGTTTCTACACTCCCATACACTACACACATCAGTCTCTACACTCACATACACTACACACATCAGTTTCTTCACTCCCATACACTATACACATCAGTTTCTGCACTCCCATACACTACACACATCAGTCTCTACATGTCGTATGGCAGTTTTGTCGCGCACCTTACTTACAGGATATTTTCACAAATCCCTCAGGTGCTCTGAGTCAGGAGAGTTTTGAATGGTGGCTCTCGTTCGTCTAGAGGCCTAACCCTCGGTTCAAACTTTCCATTCAACCTGTCTCAGGGATGAGGTGACACGAGCTCTGACTCCACAGGGTTATTATGAACACTTGGGTACCTCTCGGCCAGACGTCCTCACCACAGATCGCCCCCAGACTGGAACAAAACAAGTCCAGTCGAACAAATAATCAACAGTGAATACGATAAGACAAGATTTCGTTTATAAATGCCACAATGAACTCCAATTAGACAAAACTCTCCTAAGAACTAGAAGGCGAATGAACTCGAAATTCAGTGTAATAAGTTCCCTGTAACCAAGCTGAAGAAAAATAACTTGAAGAATTAACTGAAAGAATATTGAATACTTTCAAGAACAAAGTTAATGCGAGAGTCTTCCTCCTACTCTACGTTTCTGTCCAGTATCATCATGGCTGAGGAATCTGATGGATTGGAAAGGTCCACTTAGATTTAAGCCGTCATACAGTGCTACTCTGACTTATCTGTTTAGATCTTATATCTCCTCTGGATGCTGGAGCGAAGTTTCCGACTGCCGTACTTTACGATAGGACTTCTCAGAAACGAGGCTGCTTCTCTGGATGCCGGAATAGATCTTCACGTCACCAGACTTCCCAACATTATTTCACCCACAGGAACAGTTTCTGGCGTTGATCGAGGACAATCACCTTGAGCTCGGAAGACGACGACTCAAGTATCGTCCACACGTTCAGGACCCCCAATTCACCACAAGTAAATTGCTTAAGGGGTAGTGGCAGAAGGAACCAGTCTACAAGACACTGACACTTGTTGGATCTTCATAACCTGAAAAACACAAAGCAACACCCATGAGCGGACCGTATCTAATGCACCTGGTCAATCAACATCCTTACCATCTCCTCATGCTCAGATAAACTTGAGGTTATTCCCAACCATGAAAGTTGGTCACCTCTATCTTAGAATCCATTTAGTTTCCTAGAGTGAGCACCAGATCATTAACTCGAAGAGTTCCTGGATACAGTTCTGTAGCAAAGGTTAGACAGATCTCCATTATTTACCGTTCCCTCTAACGTAGAAAATAAGGGATCTGTGATGAAGTCCAAACCAAGACCTACTGAAATATGTTATGAAAACAATACGACAGTCAAAGCTTGTTGTGGTTACGAAATCACCTAGCAACAGCTGACATGACGTCATGTCTGCCCATAAGCTTCTTGTCGTTCGAAACAATTCAGAGACTTACCAAGTTCTGATACCGAATACTAGCAAATAATTAACAATACAAAGTTATCAATACTACAAACCCACTCCAGATATGTAGATTGATTGAATTGAAAAGGTTTAAAAGGCCATTTCAAAGCATTCTGTGAGAAATGTCAGCCGAAAGTGCATTCCGATCCGGAGCTCCTTTCGCTGCTTTCTTTCGCAAGAATCGTAGGCAAACAGATTCGCATTA